AGACGATGGGAAGAACTTCCATGGTAAAAACTTTGCTGCTGGCCAAAAAATATTTTCTATGCCTCCCACACCAAAGGTGACATCAATGCAAATAGTAAAATGGGCGGACTAAACAATCCATTTTTATAGAAAGACGAAGGTTTCGGATCGAATTGATTGTCAGAGTGCCAAACAATGGCAGCAAATTGGTTTCGAAGAAGAAAATGAAGATGAAGATGGAAGAAAATGCGAAGCATCCATGCATTTATAGGGGAGTGGAGATGAAGAGACAAAATATGAGCAGCCACATTCTGCCCAGTAAATGGAATTAAATAGCCCAAAGTCTTGGGAAAAGTTGTGAAAATATCAAAAGAAAATGGGCAAGATTTTTAGTTAAATACTTGAAGAATTGACGACTAAAAAACAAACGTCAAATAAATGCACAAGAAGTTAATATATATGTTCATTAATGATGAACAAAGTTATAAAGGGAAAATCAAATTATAAAAGAAAAAGGCATCATATGTCTTAATTACAGTCCACCCCATACTGAACGAATTCGTTCCCTAAGTTTTTCCCAATCCTCGTTCTGCCGAGAGGAAGTGATGTTCAATTCGGCCACGACATCATCATCAACTTCCAACTTCTTGTACTGCTCGACCAAGGACTTAGTTCGCTCAATTCCCTGGGAGGCGTTGCACTTTTTAGCAGCCATTCTCGCCTTGCAATCGTCCATTTTAGCTTGAAGTTCCTTCATCTGAGCAGCCAAATTAACCATCAAAGAGTCTTCAATCATGACTTCGGAAGAGATTTCTTTCAACTCGTCCTCAGCCTTGTTGATCTCCATACGCAAAGACTCTTTCTCAGATACGGCTCAAAGATATTGAGTACTTTTGGCCTTTAGTTCAGCATTCTTGGCCAGCAAAGAAAGGACCTCAAAGTGGATAACCTTCAACGTCGCTTTAAAATCGGCAGAAAGATTGAGCGACGGAAGCGTCAGTGCTTGCTCCAAATTCACATTCAAATGCTCAAGTTTATCCTTGTGTCTGGCAGCACTAGCCCTACCAATGTCCATATCCATGAAGGACACGTACTCAAATATCAACTGCTTGAGGAACTTCAAATCTTCCTCTGAAGAAGCAGCAGGACGATCAGATGGAGTAGGGCAAGACGTCTTGACTTGCCCCCAGGAAGCGAACAAGTTTTGGATAGAACGCACTATCTTTTCAGCATCCTGCAAAGAAAATTTCCAATATTAAAGATTCTCACTACAACGAACAAGATAAAAATAAAAGTGAAGCAAAGATTACCTCATCAACAATCGTGGAAGATGGCATGTCCTCAGCCAAGTCTGCCACCAATGACTCCTCCATTCGTGAGGACTTCCCCTTGTCTGAGCGAGAAGATGTTGCCACAACGGGCAGACTCATAGGAGTATCTGCAAAAATCAAAAGCAACAAATCAGAAACCAATAACAAAAGCAAAGGTAAGGCATCAAAAAACTGAATTACCTTCTGCTTCAATGTTTGGGGGGTTGACGCCCTAGGAAGAAGGTAGCTCATCCATGGGTTGTGATGAGGATTTTGGGACTGAAAATATCTCTTTAAGCATAGTCCCCTTATCAACTAGTTTGGATGAAGCAGCCTCAGCGGAGGATGATGGAGCAGGAGCTGTTGATGCCAAAGCCTTTGAATGAGAGGCTGAACTTTTCTGAGAAGTCCAAAAAATCATCAGCACACAGAAAAGTTTCAAAAAATCATCAGCACACAGAAAAGTTTCAAATATGGAAAAGTATGCTTGTGAGTAAACCAATTTAATTACCTTCCTCCTGACGATAAGAGGGGTATCATCATCATCATCAACATCATCCTCCAGAATGGGAGATGTTGAGGCTGGCCGTTTGCGGCTTGGGGCACTCTTGGCTGTAGTAGGCTTGGCAGGGAGAGAAGAAGATGGACGAGCAGACTGTTTAGCGCGACGAGAAGGAGAAGGACTCCGAATGGACAAAGGAGTGACTAAAACAGGAGGAGGGGAAGAAATGCTCGGCTGGTCTAGTGAATGAAAGGCACGATTAGCATCAGTCGCAAATAATCTGCGCTTCACTGACGGCCAGAGCTGTTCAAAAAGAGGGTGAATGGCGTGGCTAGAATTGAAGGGGCTAATGAAAAATAGCTAGTTAAAAGAAGATTGCGAGCATTTATAGCCTCTGCCTCCACCTTATTAATAGTATGAAAACGGTCAATTAAGTTCCTTGAATAACAAGGAGGAACAGGCCAAGTTTGGCCGAAACCAAGCTGGCGAGCAAAAAATTGGGGAGCATAAATTTCTACCCCTGCCTTGGCATTGGTCCCAGTTAAAATATCATGAAATAGCTCCTTCCCGGTTAAAAATTGGATCCAAATAAGCAGGGAGGTGCTCACGCTGTCTATAGTGGAGGAGGGATGTACATAGTTTGGAGTCAAAAAAGGAGGAAAAGGAAAAAAGGAAGAGATTGAATCCAAAGAATAAAAAAATGAAAAAATGTCATTTCTGGACATATTTACAGGGGCCAAGGGCTCCATGGCTAGCCCATAACAGCTAGCAAAGGAGCGAGAAATTGATGGAGCACCAAGCAATGAAAAATAGGATCTCAACCACAGTTGAGTGAACCAAAGAGGTCCACTGCCAGTGGGAGATGCACCATTCTTCAATTGAGTTTGAAGAGAGGCCATGCCTCTATAAAGGGCAGCCAAAAAGAAAGAACATAAATTTAAAGGCCTGCCACGCGCCAATTCGTGCGCTATGGGTAAATAACTCAGGGAGGGCTTTATGCTTGGCACACACAAAACATATTTACAAAGCCAAACTAGAAGAAAGGCCACTCGCTCAGTATGGGAAGGCTCAGCGCTCGAATGATTGTGAAGGGTTTGCAGGCTTGAATAAGATTCGGTGTAGTTTTTACCAAACTTTGGGGCGCCACCAGAAACCAAGATACCGGGAAAAATGGTATCGCCCAAAGGTGGTAGATTCACTAGGACCCCAACATCCCTTAAAGTAATAGACATGGGGCCAAGAGGAAAAATAAAGGTATTATACTCGGAAGATCAAAAACTCAAAGCAATCGAAAAAAGTGTTGAATCAAAAGTAGGGGGGCGAATAGAGATTTCTAACAAATCAGAAATCCTAGCGTTATCAAAAAGTGTCTTAGTAGGACCATGACCCACAAGACGAGCATGCTACCTACGGAAAGCTACATCAGATTTAGGCCAAGTGAGAATACCTCTTTTGCGAAGTGGCCCCAGCGGCAGAGAGTTTAGAAATGGAGGGCCTTGAGTACAAGGAAACAGCTGACCCACCGCCGCCTGTTCAACTGCCTCCGCATTGTTGAAGAAAGGACCTAAGTAGAACTCATTGCGTTCAACATCGGCGGGCGCGAGAAAACTTGGAGTTATGTATGGACGACTCAGAAGTTTCTGAAAGTCATCAAAACTAAAGGAGTCGCCAACTTGAGATTGTGAAGTAGCCATTTGAGATGGAACGAAGTTTTTCAGGGTTACGTAGCAGGAAAGCAAAAGATGAACAGTAAATCGTGGGAGAGACGCAAAAAATTTGAGGCGTGATTTAGTGGTGCAGTGAAATGGCGTGTTTGGGGGGTTATAAGGGTTTGCAAAACGATGCACCTTTTCAAGTTATGGAAGAAAACAATGATTGATTTTCTTGGAAATCTTGAATGTTGCTGAAAACACAAAGTGAATATGGCAAAATTTAATAATTATTATTAATTCTGTCATATTGGGGGGTAATTGTTGATACATAAAAAATTCAGCCCAAATCGAACGGCACAAGGAATGAAGCCCAATTAGAGGATCCCCAAGTTAGATAGCCCAAAGGACGAAACCCAATCAAACAATTCAAGATGAAGGCCCAAGAACGCGGTAACGCCATCTCCCAAGTTTGCAAGTCGCCCAGAATCTGAGCGAATGGAGTGTCATGCAGTCACCCAGAGCTATTACTCTATTCTCGTCCAAACCTTCAAGTCGCCTAAGGTCTTAACAAACATAAAGCGTTGTAGTTATCAAGAAGTGCAGTTATCAAAACAGTTATTAAAGCAGCCATATCACGTTCTACGATTCAAGGAATTCAATCGAAAACGGTTGAACGACGAAGAGTAATGACAGCAGTTAAAAGAAGGCAGTTTTCATGACAAGCTGGCCATTATGAGGAAAGTGGGCAGTTGCAAAACGATCAAGCAGTTTTTAGGCGGTTGATCACAAAAAAGATCATCCATGGAGTATAAAAGGGAAAAAAGACATAGAGCAAAGGGCCCGAATCAAAAACTCTCAAACAGAGAACATATAATTTTAATTTCCTTAGCTTAGACTTAAACACTTTTTTCAGTAACTCGTGTGCTTGCGCCCCTTGGAGGCATTTTGCTTTCGATTCCCAATTGTAAAGTCATCGCCAATAAAAAAAATCCCTTTTTGGGACTTTGTCTCAAGAGGTTTGTCCCTTACACAATCGTCTGATCCCTTTTAATTGTTAGCGACTAACCCGCGCAAAACAGATGCCATTTAATTATACATGTGAGGTTGGAGTTTTATTTTTTAACCCATAACATGATAGTTGCCATAATTCCTCCTTAAGAAAGTTTATTTTTCAGAAATTTATATAAGTGTTTAAAGTTCATTTGAAGCTTTTTTTTTTTTTAGTTCGTAGTTATGTACTAAATTCTCAAAGGCTTGTCATATCCTCGATATTATTTATCGTAGATCTCAAAAGCAGCTGGAAAGGGATGAATACCACTTTAAGGAAATCATATCATGTACGTGTTTCAAGTCTTCATTTCAATATTTTCTTCATCATATTGGTTCAAGTTTTTAGTTTCCATATTCTTCTTCTACTTCGGACTTGTACAAGAATTTATTCTAACACACAAGAAACAATATTATTTGCCATGAATTACTTAGGTACATAATATCGCACAAATATGTACAATATAAAAAACGAGATTTTGAACTTCTATTGCATCACCATTCACCAAACATATCATAAGAGGGTTACAATCGTGATCTCATTTCTATTTGACGAGCTGTGGTTCTCAAGAGAGAGTCAAATTCTCAATACACAACAATTTCGAGAGAGAGGGGGGGGGGGGAGGATAACAATTTCTACGTCACAATTGCTTTTAAAAATAATAATAATAATTCTTCGACAAGCCTACTAACAACTCAACATAAGTGTACGTTTGGTACACAAAAGAGAGGACTAGATAGTATAGCAATTAACATTTTAGCTTTATTTTTCTTCCTTACTGTTGTCGTGTACTATCTAATTCTCTTGACCAAACATAGTCCTGTAGTTCTCAACTATCTACAAGCTCACAGAAGGGATTTCATACTCTTTTTCCAGCTAAAGGATCTTGGACTTTTGCATGATGGAATGAAGCTAAGGCCAAACATCAGCTTAAGGGCTTGCCCTTTATCTGAGAATCCAATCAGCTTTGCAACAATAGCAGCACTATCTCCAATGTGATCCATATCTTTAGTGTCACTCCATAGACGATGTAATAACTTTAACCTCCTTTGCTTCGAGTTCGTATTTATGCCCCATTTCTGATAAATTCGATATCTTTCATCTCGAGTATACCTTTTATACATAAGCCTTCTCAGCACCTCCCTCTCGCGTCTAAGAGCTTTCATGTTGTTGCTACAAGAAAATAATATCAAGTGCCGATCATAAGTGATAAATTTCAGGTTTTTGCGCCAACAGAACTTAATCGAATTGTTAGTAAAATGTTTACACAAATCGAAACATAACTTACAAGTCAGTCCCATTATGAATGTAGTCTTATAAATCAGTCCCATGACGAATGTCATATACCTTGGCGTAAAAGTTATGTATATATTCATTCCATGTCTGAAAATGTCACACACACTAAAAAGGGCATTCCTGTAACAAAGTGACAAATGTATATTGGACTGTGTCAAGTTTTATTGTACCGTTCCCCTTGACCGCAGGGTAATTTTGTTATATTTAGTCCACACAGATTAAGTCTTCCGGTCATATATAAAGGATTTTGGGGAGAGCCACTGTTTCGTTAGTTAAGACAGAATGGTCCATGAAATACCTTGTAATCTCCTTTATTATAGTCAAAATCTGCAATTACAAGTGGACATAACTTTCACATTGATGGTAAGCCACTAAAATTTGAGCCTTTAGTTTTGCGTGTTACTTTCTTCCTTTATTATTGCTCTCGAAGCTAGGGATTAAAGTTTAATCCATGATAGAGTGACCAGAGAAATACTGTGAGAAAGAGGGGGGTCAGAAGATACCTTATTGCCAACGTAAGAGTGCGAGTATCTTGTGCAGTAGGATTTCCCGTAGAGAATGTCTCCTCCAGGAAGGACAGTCTCCTGTGCTCTACCTCCATGTAAATGAAATCTATGAACTCACCTTTAAAGAGGAGGAAGAAATATGTCCTGTGGACCAACGGAATATTACAAGTATGCCACAATTCAATTATCAATCTTTGCAGCCTCTCAAACTTCAGAGGCCAATCTGAAGGAGCTCCAAGAGAATCATGCATTGGATCAATCCCAATGTCTTTGGCATTCTCTCTAGATTTCAGTTCCATCTCCTGAACCTGGATGTAAGAACACGTACAAGGTTAAGAATCACAAGAAGGGCTCTTCTTCTTTAAAATTACTATCTTACCACAAACGCAGCTATCTAACTATGGGAGGGGGAAAACATCAACTGGGAGCGAAAAATACAAAATACTGGAGAACTGTAACATCGCACAAACAGATATATTCAGAATTAGGAATGAGTGTCACCTGATCGTGAAGTTGGTTTTCATAATGAAGCTCAGCCATGTCCTGGAGCCCTGCAAAGAAAGAATCAAGAGTAGGAATATCCTCATCTCCATGTGCGATGTTTTGAGCTTTTACTTCATCTATGGAAGTGCTACCACTGGAGGATTGTGAATCATTTCTGGACAGCCTCGCACCATATTCACCATATATCAATCGCTTCCAATGCATTCTTTGGAAGCCTTCCGGTCCTCCGGGGAAGCTTTTGTCCAACTCAGAGGGTGGCATCGATTCACTTTTATATGCCATCACAGAGTGAGACGAGCCAGTCATCAGTTTTCCTCTAAAACTTTGGCTTCTTGTCAACTTCGAGGTTCCAGAACTTGGCATATTGATAAACGAGGCCCTTGGAGACGATTCATCGGAGTAGGAGCTGACTAGAGAAGAAATTGATTTGTGCTCCTTTTCCATTTTCTGCTCCAGCGTCCCATTGAAGGAACCATTTTCAATGACACAAGCACGTCCAGGTAAAGCAGATAATGGCACCTGACCCACAGCATATTCATTTCCAGTTTCCAACAATATTGACATTCTTTTTTCATTCTCGTTGTTTGACAAGCCAAATGATTCATATGTTTTGTCGTGGCCATATTCGTCCATCTCAATACATTGAACTTCTTTAAAGATATCATCAGAATCTTTTTCAGTTCCTACCGGAAGTTCCTCTCTCCCCTGACTCGGGTTGGAAGTATCATCAGACGATGAGTGATACTCACCATCTTCTGAAAGCAGTACACCTGATGTCCCATCACTCCTGATGTCTCCGCTATAAGACCGAATTCTGTTGAGGCTCCCGGCACAATCAGTTCCACTCGACAGGCTTGTCACTGAACATTCATCTTTATATGTTTTCTCTTCTTGCCATTTAGGAGAACAGGTAATAATATCCTGCAAAAATGTATTGATCAAAAACTACATCGCTGAAACAGATTTGGCACAGGGATATTGCAGGCAAGGGGAAGAGAGGGACGAATGCATACCATTTTCCATAAAGTTTTGTCATTTCCAACAACTTGCAACAAATCCTCAACCCGGGATTGAGAAAGCTCTTGTTGCTTGGTTAGATCCCTCACCTCTTTCTCTAACTGCGAAATGGCAAACCAAGCAATCACATTAATACTGCAAGGTGTTGAAATAATAACATGTCCCAGTGCAGTCGGATGCCTAAACTGACATAAAATGGTTCAATAATAGTCGGTAAGGAACATGTCATTCTCCTAGTCACAAGCTTTGATATTGCAGCAATATAAATATGGTGGGCATTTCTGGTTAAAAAGACATTAGACCCCCGGAATTTGCGCCCAATTTTTACTATCCGAAACCAATTACCACGATTGAAGTGATAAAAACAAGGTAGAGGAATGTAATATTCATATCTCTTATATCAATTATCATTAAACAACTTCAGTTACTCTGATACGAGTATTTAAGTGCATAAACACACAAATATACGAAAAGTTGATCACCAGAACTGTCTGTTAGTTTATTCAAGTCATTTGACTCCATCTCTACGCCTTAGCTTAAGAAAACAGAATTTTAGAGCAAATAAGCATGTGTAAAAAAATGTACATTTTGTAAATGAAGTAAACCAGAATTTTAAGTTTTTGAAAATGTTAAGAGGACTGATACATTACAGAAAGATTTCAGAGACAAATCATGACCTTTTCGATCTGCGTATCTTTCTTTCTTAGCAATGCAATATGATCACAAGTTGATCCTTGGGTTCTTAACTCGCTCTTCAAATGAGCCACCTCTTTTTGCAGATGTTTCACCAAGGCTTTATCGGACATCACTACATTGACCTGAGCATTTGTTGTCACTTCCTTTGCACAGCTGGCAAACAAAAGGGTATTTCTTGATTGCTCGTTATGGCTTCTTGTAGGACTCAAGGTGCAAATGATGGCAGTTCTTGCATTGCCTCCCAAGGCGGGTTGTAGAATACGTGTTAACTTAGAGTCTCTGTAATTGACATGTCCCTGTCTTTCTTTGCTGCATTTAGTTATATGGATACTAATTATATGTACTGCAGAACAACATGATTATATACCACTCCAATATTCTAGCAAAAAGCAAAGCTACCTACCATGAGTGCGAGTGAGTGACAGAGTGTAAAAACCTCCCCATCCTCCATGGAGGAAGAAAGCATATTCACATGTTTAATTGGACTAAAATGCCCAACTAAAATGGAATCTTTCTTTAAGTGGACAGGGGAGGAAAAGGAAAAGCTATAGAGAAAAAATACATTCGAAAATTATCCTACATGGACAAACTGAAAGAACTATGCCCTATCAAAAATTAAAAATTTTCAAAGGTTGTGAAAAATAATTATCAGATTGATATAATTTACGTATGATAATTTTCAAGAAGACAGTCAGGCAGCAGGAAGAGAGCAAATGTTACCAACCTTAGCTTGCGAATAACAGTCCCCAGAGTTAGCAAACTACGATTGATGTGGCAGCCTTCTTTCAATCTTTGCCCGGCTGATAGTGCTTGAGCTGCACGCTCACTTCCTGCCAGATCAACGAAATTCTGCAGGCACACCACAATAATTCTTCATCTGATTTTTATATGTTCATTTACAAATCTATATCACTGAAATAAGTTCCATCATCCTCAAAAGACAAATTGGTTTGTCCTTACCACAGAAGCAGCAAGGGTTGTCGAGTTTTCCTTCCCTAAAAACTCACGACCAGAACTTTCAATTGCCTGAATATGTCAAATGTAAAAGAAATCTGAGGTTCGTCCACAAGTTCAAGGAGGAACAAGATTTAACCAGGAAAGTAAAGGGGAGAAGGGCAAACCAATCTGAGAATTTGATGGGATCTAGAGCTTGTTTCATTTAAAGATGTCTCTCCAGTTTGTCTTTTTGCTATGAGAATGGCACATAAAACATAATCACAAGACAGAATATTTTCAATTGACTAATACATCGCAATCACGAAATATTGCAATCAAAATTCCCTGTTTACCTTCACACATGGATAAAAGTTCCTTGAGATGACTCCAATCCGTCAGGGTTTCCTCAGTGAGTTTCTCTATTACAGTTCCTCTCTAATGGATGAAAACTCAATAAAGATATGCCCTCACTTAAAGGAAATACTAAGAAAGTGACATCTTACCTCTGCATCATCAAGCAGTCTAAGCGGAGAATTGTCTGTACTAAGAAGGTCTGTAACAACTTCGTTATAAATTTCCAGTGCAGAAAACTTCAAAACAAATGCTCTTTCTTCATGCTATGTAAGAGAAAAAGGATGAGCTTACGAAACTAGGACTATAAACAGGAAAACTACTCAATCTGAAAAAAGCCAAAAGTGACAAATATCTTAAATTGTTATCCATGTCCAAAAATTGACAACAAATATAGAATTTAGATACCTTTTCTATGTAACTGTAAATATCAGCCACTGCATACTGAGTGATTCGATTCATAGTGTATGTCTTTCCACTGCTTGTTTGGCCATATGCAAAAATGGTTGCTGGAAGTAAAAATTTAAAAGTAATTCCAACTGTTAGTTTGTTTTTGATAATTGATGCCAACAAATTACTATTTGAAAAGACAAAGAAAAAATGAGGTATTGGTGTTCAGATCATACTTACAGTTGATGCCAACAACAGCGGAAAGCGCAGCATCGTTCATTCCTTCCAAATAAACTTCCCTTGTACTGCAGTCACCCTTAAAGACTCGGTCTATCACCATATATTATAGACAGATGCCAACAAGCAAAGAAAAGACAGAGATAATAAATTTTTAGGCCAATATCAATTCATAAGGTTCATTGATATAATTAAAGCCCACAGTGACCATGTTTTAATATTAGTCCCTCGATGAAGATTTTATACAAACAAATTGCTTGCATCGAGATTCTTCCTTCAATAAGTAAATTTTAAAAGTTGCATTATATACGAACTACGTGCTCCCAATGATAATTTTTCTTAGGTAATTGACTTAAGATTCAAATTAGCATTAGTCTTCTACAAAAGTCTCTTAACTTGATTAACCAACCATGATAGCTATACAAAAGCATAGGAAAAGCAATGAACATTCTTGATGAAACCGGTGAAAAAAACATGAGTTATTTAACATTCTAAAAAGGACTTAATCTCGCAAGCAATTAAATGCTGATTCAATAATTTCTACTTCAGGAACCGAAACGTGATCAAATCCACCTTACCATATGTATAAGCGGATGGCAATCCAGACCGCTCCTGGAGGCTGTTCCGGCATAAAATGGTGGTTGAATTAATGCATTCCCAATCCACAGCTTCGTTCCTTGCAATCTCCTTTTCACTCAAAGGCCTCAACCTCACCAATACTAAAATCTTCTCTTCTTTTCCATTCCCAATACCTTGCCTTTTGTCCCAATTTAACAGTCCTTCCCCACCCACAGTCCCCATATTCTCACCCCTCTGGAATCCTGTTCTCCCTCAAATCCACTCCAATCTCATCAAATACGATATACCTGTAACTAAAATATCCCCTCTAAACCCCTAAAGTACTAGAAACTAATGGAAGCCTTTTAAACAGACTGTTGAAAGACAGAGTTCCAGTACCTCCGACTAGTAATAACTGCATTGTTTATCAGAAACAGAAAGGTTAATTATAGAAAGATTTCAACAATGCAACCAATCAAATATTGATTGAAATAAAAGAATAATTATTTTTAGTGGTAGTTGTGAATTATGATTAAGCACTTTGCTTAATCTTTTGCCTCAAGCTCTTAAGTTTCAGCAGAAGCTTGAATCCCATTTGCCAGAGTAAGAAACTCACATCATAGTTTTGCTTATTGGGGACCAAATCATGCTTCAAGTTCAAGTAAGAATGCTTTCAAAATTTACGTTAATGGGACCCAATTACAGTACATTTATAACCATATTTGGCTAAGATTACAAGTAGCATTTTTGAGACTCAAAAATGCTACTTGTAATCTTAGCCAATCGTGCTCTTATATGTATGCATATTAATTTGTTCTTTAAAGCAATGACAGTGCGATTGAAAGAAAACTTACGTTTGGTGTCATTTTCACAAAACGGAAGTTAAACGAGAGTTGGAGTTAGGCTCACAGTTGAATGGTCAGAATTCAAAAGCTTCCAGTCTTCAATTTTCTGTACATTCAAGTGGGGAAAAAAAGGAAAATCCAAAACTGGAATTGTTATAATTTCTTGAAGATGTCAACGACTACAAAATAAAAATCGCCCGAATTGATAACTGCTGGATTTGATGATGATAAAATGTAGCGGAATAAGCCATCTGTAAAATGGATTTGTACAATATGCTTGATAACTGTGTAGATATCAAAAAAGCTTTGATAGAAAAGATAAAGCAGTTTTCAAATGTCCAATGATAACGTGGCGGCACGTAGCATATTGTCAAATTTATTGTAAAAATTATTGTACAATAAACATGGTTCAAATGTAGCTCCAATTTAACAGTAAAAATTATATACATACGCCAAAAATCAAGTACTTTTCAGGTTACAAAATAACTTTAAAAATTATGTTTAGCACAATTCTCGGTAAATATTCCAAAAAAAATGAGAATTAAAGTCGCTCTCTCACACATGCGCACTGGAAAGTGGGAACGGCGCTAATACAACGGCGTCCCCGTTAATCTGTTAGCCACCGGGAAGTTCAATTCAAACTACGGTTTCAGGACATCGGTAAGGCAATTCGAACCGTCAATCGAAAGCCGCTTTAATCGAATATAGCTTAAAGAATCGAACTATGGCGATGAATATTGTATTTGATTTTAATACCCTAGTTCGAGAAGGGAAGGTATAATATTTACCCGTCGCACCGTCTCGAACCAATTATCCGTTAAAAAAATAATTAATTGACAATTGAGCTTTTCATTATTCTTTCTATAATTCTGTTTATCCCAAAATTCTGGCTCATTATCGAACTGCTAAATTCAACTAACCTAACCCAGTAACCTTGCACTTTACTACACAAATATTAAATATATATGGAAATTGTTTGTTAAATTCGGATTTTGCATTTGGGAACTGGGATATTATTTATATTTTCATTTGGGATATTGTTTGTTAAATTGGCCTTGTATTGTGTTTTTATTTTCATTTATTTTTTATTTTTTTTCATAAATTTATTTTTTTACAATTTGGCGGCTAGCCCTATAAAAAATAATTTATTTTCGTGGTTATTAACCACCTGAACTGACATATGAACCAAGTCAAACGAACCAACTTACGTGATTATTATGCAATTATGGTATGGTTAAAAAATTGATGGTTCGGTGATGATTTTGACTGAACTGACCCCGAATCGAACCGTTGTCAACCCTAGGTTAACGTTGCTTTTGGAAGAAATTTGTGCAGCTACAAATAGGTTCAAAATTAAGAGCATAGATATTGCCACAGGGAAGCCATACGTCTACGGTTAGTGATTTGAGGACCGATTTTAAATAGCATTGTAGGAGAATGTACACTTAACAAGATTGATCTTAGGTTTAGGAAAATTATAAAAGTCCCCCAACCTACTTATTTTGTGACAAATTCATCCTCGTTTATTATTTTTTCCAGCAGAGTCCCTAACTTATGAGTCTAGGTGCACATTTAAATATGAGCATTAAATGAAATAAGTTTTAGAAAAAGCCCCTATTTGATGGACATTATAAAGAAAAATTGGAGGGAAATGATGTTTTAAATAGTAACTTTTTTGTAAAAATTGTAGTTAAAAAGTAGGAAAAATATTTTACGGACCATACTACATATATATCATACTTGATATAAAAGTTTACATAATGCTACTTGACATTTTATCGTTTGACAGTTTAAAACACAATTATCTCTTTCATCCAATCACCTCCCACCACATACCTTTCTGACACTGTTTCTGAACACTTTCTTCTGGCAAAGTGGTATTTTCTATATCTTATTACGTGAATATGTGGTTGAAAATGAAAAATAATGAGTTTTTATTTAAAGAAAGTCAAAGTTTTTTCAAGAAAATCCAATAAGTCCTCAATCTTTGATGAGTATGCCATTTGAGTCTCTAATTGCAAACTGTGGCGCTTGGATGCCCAACCTTTCAATCTATGCGTATTGTCCCCACCTGACAAAATTGTTAGTTTGACATTAAATTAGCCAATTTGTGCAAATACTTATTTTTAACCACACATTCTCACAATAAAAATATTCTTCACGTAAATTCAAAATTTTTCCTTACTTTTTAATCACACATTCTTCCAAAATTTACTATTCAAAAACTCATTATTTCAAAAAATAAATAAATAGATAAATAAAAATTCTGTCAAATAGGGACTAAGCATTTGTTTGGATTATAAGTTACTAAAATTATAATATGATGAAATGAATGGTGGACAATTAATAATTGGGTATTAGTCATAGATCCCATGAAATGTGCTTTTTAAATTAAAGTTTGACGTTGACTTGTAAGCTGTAAAGAGATATTAATGAAAAGAAACAAGTTTTGAGAGATAATTATAACCTAATTTAAATTTAAATAAGAGAGAAAAGGGAAATGAAAGGAAAGGAAGAACAAAAAATATCGTCTTCATATCCCATGGGCCATAGATCCTACCACATCTAACTACCATAGGGATGCCAAACGGGCCGAGCGGCTCGTCGGCTTGGCCGTTCGGCTCGTTAAAATCCGACTCGTGGGCGACTCGAGCTCGTCAAATGACGAGCCTGAGCCGAGCAGGGGACTCAATTTCACAAGCCGAGCCTACTCGGCTCGTCGAGCCCACGAGCCATTTTGACGAACCCACAAGCCGAGCTCGTCCAAAAATATGAAAAATTAAAAAAAAAAAAAAAAAAGATGAAAAAATGTGCAAAAAAAAAAAATTATTAAAAAAATTAAAAAAAAAAAAAAAAAAGATGAAAAAATGTGCAAAAAAAAAAAATTATTAAAAAAATTAAAAAAAAAAAAAAAAAAGATGAAAAAATGTGCAAAAAAAAAAAATTATTAAAAAAATTAAAAAAAAAAAAAAAAAAGATGAAAAAATGTGCAAAAAAAAAAAATTATTAAAAAAATTAAAAAAAAAAAAAAAGAGCTCGTGGGCCGAGCCGAGCTCGCCCCCAAGCAACGAGCTGAGCACGAGCACGAGCTCGGCTCGCCATGAGCCACGAGCCGAGCTCGTGGGTTAAAGGGCCCATCACTAACTACTAGCTAGCAAACAAAGTGGCTCCCCAATTGTATAACTGTCTTTAATATAGGATTGACTTTCTGACGCTAAAATTAACAGTTTTGCTTGCACGCTTTCAAAGGGTTGCGTTGGGGGATCCAATTGCAACATTTATCAAAGGTTGAACATTGAACAGTCCACGGCTGGAAATTTAGCCCCTCGTTAGATTTTTAGTAGATTTTGATAAGAGTTACTGAAATGTGTGGTTAGAAAGTTAATAAAAATTGTTAGTTTTGTGAATCAATCTGCAAAAAATAAGTTTTAAGAAATAAGGGCCAAATAGGAGCTTATTAATCTTTCTTTTTTTTTTTTTTTTTTTTTTTTTAAATTTGTTCTTATTTTTTAAAAATTTTTATTTTTTTTTTTTTTTTTTTTTTTTTTTTATAGATCAGTCATCATGATTGAAAATATTTAACTTTTTTATTTTTATTTTCTTTTTGGGATTAGGCAGTGGAGTTATTTTTCAAAAAAAAAATGTTTTTACGTAAAATTAGGTCATTCATGCTGGTTTGATAAATAAATTAACTTAATTGATTAGTTATTCTCTTAATTATAAAAATCAATCAAACCCCACCCAATTGACTAAAAATAGTTAGCTCAAACGTTAACGTATCAAATAAGCTTAGTTGATCGGATAGTCCTTCACCCAGTCAATATCGAGGTGAATTGTCAATTTTTGGATTATCGATGGCCCCGTTATCCGGGTCACCCAAAAGCTATTTTGTTAAATTAGGAAAGCTGAGAATTGAACCCATGAACTCAAACTATAAAAACTAAGGCTAAACAACCAGAGCATCATTAATTATATTTTCACATTCATATATTATTATCTTGGATTTTTTAACTTCATATTTTACTCCAAAAAAAAAATTTTTAAAAATTATAGTCCCATGTTGTATATAAATTGAATAATCAAGTTAAAAACATGTTGTTAGCTTTACGATGTGATATAATTATTTTATGAATATGATACTATGTATAGAAAAACTAATATTTAACTAAATGTATAAAATATTTTTATTAGACACTACAATAATAAACAAGTTTACAATATCATTAATTTATAGATATTAACATAACTAATGACAAATAACTTAAAAGTTTTAATTTTGTCTCGAGAAAATGTTTTGTATAATGAAAGTTTTTAAATAATTATCTAAGCAATAATCCATTGGTCTAACCAGTGATCCATCGGTTTAACCAATGACCCGATGATCTAATTAATACTAGGGCTGTAAGCAAAAATCGCAAAACCGCAAAACCGAACCGAAACCGCATTTTAGAAACCGTCGGTTTGGTGCCACGTGGACCCGGTCAACGAAATGGTTTTGACCCAAACCAAACCGGTCAAAATGGTTTGGTTTAGGTTTGAAAATTTTAATTACGGTTTAAAACCAAACCGGACCGGTGAAAAAATATATAAAAATAAAAAAATGAAATTTTTTGAAAATTCATCCAAATATGTAAAATTCAATAGTTTTGTCATTTGTGGGTATTTTTGTCAATTCCTAATTTTCTAATACATATATATTATTATTATTATTATTATTATTATCATCATCATCATCATCATCCAATAATCCTAATATATATTTAATAATTTTAATACTAACATAATCTATCAAAAGACTTTTTCCTCTTCAAAATTTAGATGAACTCCAGTCGACACCCAACACGGTTTTGAGCCATCGGCACCACACATTTCTTTTCAGATTTTTCACGCATCTTCAAAGTCGAATTGAAGTCTATTATACCAAATCGAAGACAAAGAGATTCTAGACCTTCGGTGATAATATTTGCTACAAATAAAGTTTCAGATCAATTATTTTTTGAAGCAAACTAAGGTAAGAATTTGAAATTAAATGTGTTTCGTAACATCATACAAACGTAAACTTGTGTAATTGTTATGTTTAAATATTATAAACAATTGCTTTATTATTGTAGTTGGTTATGCTCTTTGTTTAATCAATATCTTTTTTTCAGATATAATAATCACGAGGCCTTGTTGGACATCATTATTTTTTTGACCTTATATCTAGTTTAGTAGACTTGTATTGTAACGTTATTTTATCGTCATTAACCTAAAAAGGTGAACAAAAATGAAAAAAAAAACT